TTTCTTGAGTATTTACTATAATAGTATCACTGTCTGGCGGCATTTTATTACTAAGCTCTTCTTAGTAAGCAGGTTAGATGGTCTGTGTGTTTTTGTTTTCGTGAGTGAGACGTGTTTAGATTAGCTACTTTACCAGCTTCTAGCTCTGTAGCGCGTGGGCTGCACGACTTAGCGCTAGTTGCAATCGATTTCTTCGGATGGATTTGTATATATTTCGCTAAAATTACACCTATTCTGAAAAACTCGAAGTTGGTGTTTTTGTGTAATAGATGTCTTAAGAGAGTAGAAAGAGCTTGAAATGTCTCTTTTGAGATGCTCGTATCGTTACGGGGAGAGGGCTAGCAAAGAGTAATAACAGCACACTATTCCTCTGAAACTTAAGGGATTGTATGTCTCTCTTATTGCATACGAAAAGTCTCTATCTTATACTCCATCGGTCAGACCGCAGTGTCAGCACAAAGGTCGCTGGCGACCCTGTGCACTGGCACAGTATTAGCACTCGACCCTGTGTAACATAGGGCTCACGACAAGGCTACATAGATCATCTAGACCAACTGCTATATTGCGGATGAAACTTAACTATTAGTTTGCGCAATGACAAAAATTGCTTATCTGCAAATTCTAGAATATCTGAGTGACCATAGCCCGTAACAATTGATTCGCTTCAAATCCTAGTCAAACGCGCCCCGCCTTCACGCTAGTTTAAGTAAGCGCTAATCCGTTATCAGGAGGGTTTTGGGAGAAACAGTGGGGCTAGCATCATAAGTAGTTATTTCTTACGATCACTTTAGTTGAGTTGTAAATCATTCAATATCCAAGTAATTTAATTGTCAGATCAACGCTACGCTGAAACGGTAGGGGAAAATTGAGAAACCTTTTGATCAGTGATGATGCAGCAGCACCGGAATGGCATAGCGGAATCCAATCATGCTTAAGCTAACGGAAATTTCCATAATCGAATGAGAGTTGGTGTGGAAGTTAAATACGGTACTGTTGCCTCGCAGTTTCAACATTTAACATGTTACGCAATATTCTCTCATCTTCAATTACCTATCAGAAGGCTCCTAAAGTTTTAAATTATTATAAAGAATTGCTCTTTCGCATAACCACAAAATCGATTTCAACTTCACCTCAAATAAAGATGACCAATACGACTACATCGTCGACCATTGACCCTAGCGTGAAGGCTGGTAATACCGCCCCCTCGCTAAAGCGCCTCGATGCTAAAGACCCGGCGACTACGTACGAGCGGGTGGTCGAGCTTGTGCGCTCAGATGGTGGAGTGGTCATCAAGAATCTCATATCCACTGAGCATGCGGCTCGTATTAAGGCAGAGCTGGCCCCAGTCTTTGCTGCCGATGTGCCTGATGCCTCAGGCTTCTTCCCCACTACCACACGCCGGGCTACAGGACTACTAGCAGCATCTGAGGGTTGCGTTGAACTTGCGACCAACCAGTTGTGGATAGATACTTGCAACGAAATATTGACCTCGAGATGTTCTCCCTGGTACGGTGAAAATCGGCGTACATTTGTCACGAAGCCTACTCTTGCTGGGACATTCGGATTTCAGATCCGGCCTGGCACGCAAGCACAGGACCTGCACCGGGACGATAGTGATTATCACCTACCCAGTGGCCTCGACTCCTGTATGATGGGTCTACTTGTCGCCATCACTAGGTGTACCTATGAGAATGGTGCGACCATGGTCATTCCCAAATCCAATGTCTGGAGCTTAGATCGCGCACCGCGCACCGTCGAGGCAGTGCCAGTGGAACTTGAGATTGGCGACGCGCTTATCTTCCCTGGTAATACCTACCATGGGGGTGGTGCCAACAAAACTAAGTGAGTAGTGCAACATCATTTCTGACAGTTATAACTTCTTAGAATGAAAGATCACTGATACATTAACGCAGACATGAGATTCGTGAAGTCATTGGCCTTTTCATGTGCAAGGGATATCTAAAACCAGAGGAAAACCACCAGCTTGAAATTCCTGTCGAGGTCGCCAAGGAGAAGAACTTTTCCCCGCAAGTCCTGCGTCTGCTTAACTATGGTATAAGCCAACCAGCGCTAGGGCTTTACAAGTACAAGGACCCCATGTCTGTCATTTTCGGCATCAAAGATGCAGAGGTTGCAGATTTATAAGTTATTAAGATCATCTTGTTAACTTAAAGGCTCTGGAATACGTCAAACTCGAGTTCGATTATGAGATTAGTAGAATGCAGTTATTACTCACATGCTCAGTTTTTCCAACCACCATGCACGGCAAGATCATAGTATTAGAAATCTTTGATGATCCTTCTTCCATAACTGAGCGTATTCAATCCAATTATGACATGCAACCTGAGCCCAAAAAGACCGCAGAAATTTAAGCATCTGCGGTCGATCAATCTCACAATACAACGTCATGATGGAATTCATCCGCTTCTCAAACCACAGGTGCGTAACTGGATCATGAGCGCTCACTGTTGCCAGTATGAACAAAGGCCATGGTTGCGATTGTGCGAGTGCATTAGGGTTGTTGAGAGATAGCAGCGAGTCAAGAAGGTGGATGCGCAGTCTGAGAAGCGTTGTTTGATCAGGACAGGCGCACAAGCCTTCATTCAACGTTGGCACCGGGGCGGATAGGGCCTGGTGGCAGTATATCTGCGTCGCATGATAGTACGCAGTAATTATAAGCTTCAAATCGTGGTCGTTCACACTTGCCGTTTTGGTCGATTCTCGGAGGGCTGTTTCATAGGCTTGCTCCAGATTAATTAGTGCTTGTTGTAGAGTCGTGCAAAGAACGGCATGCTGCTTTCCAGGCTCTAAACCTCGTATTCCTATGCCTATTCTTGCCTGAATCACACGGCGTATGATGATAACGAAAGCTATGAAAGGAGAATGGCCTTTGATATCTTGTCCAATATGGCTCTTACTGTACAATTCCTGGATCGTAGATATCTCATTCGTTGGACAGTTAGTCAGTAGAGGCCATGTACTAGCGGCGAACAGTTCTTCGGAGAGAAAAACATTTGTGGCGTCACCAGTGGCTGTGAATTGCAACATGTTGCTAATGCTTTGTGCAGTTCGGAGATGAAAATGCCACATACCGTTAGATGGCCAGTGAACCTCGAGGTATGAAAGGAGCAGCACACTGGCAATAACTTGTTGAATTAGTAGTTGTGGAGGTGGTGTGCCCAGTTGCAGTGCGCTTCGCAATACCCGTAGATCCTTAGACAGAAGGCGGAAGGTGTTTGTGCGTAAAGAATCCATGATACGAAGGTATAAATCACGCTGAGGATCGCCTTCAGCAAGGCGAGAAGCAACATTGCTTGCGGATACCCCTAGTATAGCTGATAACAGGGAGCATAATGATGTAGAAGGACCAGGCGATTCCAAAGCCATGGGCAGAATGATACTTCGCCATGGATTAGATTCTCCTTCAAACCACGCGAGCTGTACGGACACGACATCTGCAAAGTGTTGCAGTAGGAGGCTTTCCGTGCCGAGTATCGGTACTGGTGACAATAGACTAGGTAGCTGTTTATGTTCATATGGTACCACGTGTGACAGGTATGATGGGGTTACTGGCTGTAATACGATGGGAGTGTCCGCAGCTCGGCGGGAGTGATGAGGGGCCGGGGTTGTGCGAAAATGGAGCCTGTTTGGCCCTTTGCTGGCGGGCCCGCAAATCCACCTGAGGGTCTTCCCGTATCCTGGACAGTGCAAGCCGCGAGAGATACATTTCTCACAAGCTGGCTGAGCTCCGTCACATCTTATACGGCGTCTACTGCACACTCTACATCCCGGTACCGCCGACTGTTTGGTTTTACGTGCTGCGGAAGATTGATTGGGAACGTCCGGCATGATAGTTAGCTATTTGCCGAGAGACTATAGCGACTAATGATGTGTTACAAGTAACAAGAAGGATTTTCTTCTTAATCAAGGATGGAAGGCTAAGGACCTATGAACGTCCACGTCAGAACATAATGATTAACGCGGGGCGCTGATCACGTGACTTAGTATCCCGCTAAGGCAAAGCCTTCGGAAGGCCACGGCATAAGAGAAGGCTAACGTTCTCCTAAATATCCCGCTAAAATAGAGGGCTAGAGAGGGTAGAACTACACAATATACTAAACGGAACTATAGTCTAAACAGAATTGCAGTTAAATAGCGCGTTTTACCCCTGCCCATCTATTGTTACACGGGGTTGGGTGCTGATATTTCTCTAAGCTCGATCCGGGTTAGGGCGAGTAGGATTGTCACGGTAAGGCTCGCAAGGCAGATTTAGAATTCACAGATTCTATTACTACGGCTATCGGGCAGGTCTCAGGCTACAGGTAGCAGAGGCTCT